GATCAATATCGCTCCGCGTGAGCAGTAGTCTTACGACCCCCTCATTCTTCTGATAAGAAGCCCACCAGAGTGGGGTACCGCCAGCGCCGGCTGACTTATTGGGATCGATATTGTCCCGCGCGAGCAGCAGTCTCACCACCTCTTCATGCCCGTGGAAAGAAGCACGCCAGAGCGGCGTTTCGCCATCGCGGTCTGGCTTGTCGGGATTGATGTCGCCCCGTGCAAGAAGTAGTCGTACCACCCCATCACGCCCACTACCGCAAGCCCGCAAGAGCGGTGTGAAACCAGACATATTAGCCTTTTCAGGATCGATATCGTCCCGCAAGAGTAGCGGTCTCACCACCTCCTCATGCCCCTCGTTTGAAGCCCACGAGAGTGGTGTAAAACCGGCACAATCTCTTTGATTGATATCACAACCCCCCATCTCTATCAAAGCGATCACGACCTCTACAACCCCAAAGTAGGATGCACAGTGCAAACCGGGAAACAAGTGATTGGGAAGCAAACAATCATGGTATCGATCTATTTGGTTCAGAAGCAAGGTAGAGGATATATGGTCACTGAACCGGTTTAATAGCTGCAAGGCAAGTGATTTCCCATGATCCGAGAGTTCGACTTTTGCATGGATTCCCCAATGGAGCGATGAATATTTGAGAAAGGGCATCTCTGCAACGTTCGAAACACCCATCGCGGGAAGCCCCTTGACCTGTCGACAATTCAGATATGCTAAGCAGGTCTGGGAGAGTGTTTTGTGAGCATCAGGCAAGATACCCGGCCGGGAAAGATATTCTTGAAGAGTATAGTGGATTAGCCGGACAGTGGATGTCTGGTGATCAATCACAGCGAGCCCTAGGCATGACCCTAGAACTGTATCTTGGGGCCGGATATTATCTGGATCTAGGTCCTGGTTTCCCATCTCTACTGCCAAGGCATGCCGGAGTTCGTCGATCCGCAGCGGCCGCTCCGCATGGGATGCCCACATTAGCACCTCAATCCCGAGTCTCGATCTGTCTCCCTTCTGCTCCCGTATCCGCTGCAGTGTTTGGGCGTATATAGTGTCTAGGTCCACCCCGGTCGTCGCCACCTGTCGTAACATTTCCTTTCGCTTCGCCAACGAGGTCTCACCCAATATTGCATCAATATTCAGTGCGACAAGCAGAAACCTTTATGGAATATCAATTAATAATCCGGATTCATAATAGAACAGCTCCTACTCACATCTCGGAAGACTTTTCTGAGAGTGTCTTCATGATATCATTCTTCAGACTTTCCGTCATCAAGTCTGGATCTCGGTCATCATCCTCATCCATCCTTTGGCTGATGTATCTACCGATATCGCCTTGGTCGGCCACAACGCGTATGACATATGCCCCGACCGCGAGATGCTTTTCCAGCTCGTTGCGAATGTACGGCCTTCCTGTAAGGAATAACCGCACTTTTGGTGCATCCTGCATGATCTGTCGTACCGCGCGAAGAAACCCGGATCGATGCTGTGGCAGTAACTCATCCACTGCATCAAAGCAGATGAATACTCGTTCAAAGGAACTGATTGTTCCCACAAATAATTTTAGCATGTCCGGCAATCGAAGGCTTTTGCTGCCTCTCTGTCCCAGCCCCTCAAAAGCACTTCGAATCTCGCCGGGAATCCCCGGTTCTCCTGCAACCACCTGCTTGAGAAGACCACCTATCATATTTACTGCTGTCTGATCCTTTTGTGCCTGGTAATCGCAATAGAGGGATAAAACGGCGATATTCTGTCCACAAGTTTGCGCGCAAAGGGTGTCTATTACTAGTGAACTAGTTTTATTCCCTATTAGCATCTTCTGAGGTCGCTGGAGAATACCTATTTACCTTATGTATGTCTTTCCAACTCCTTGGCCCCCGTAACACAACAACGTAGGGTTTCCCGTGCCGTCCTGGCCCTTGCGCCACGACTCGAACTCGTCCTTGCATAGAACCCAATCTCCAACGCCGTCGAGCCGACGGTTGCTCACATCTTGATGCCTGGTATGGGGTTCTAGTGGCGACAGCCATGCTTGGATCCGTAAAAACTCCTCACTTAATCCCACGTTGATGGTGGTATTGTGCAACACATTCCCACAGTTAGTATTCGAGTGGCCGTGGACATTATTGGTAGTGTTGTTTGTAGACATGTCCGATACGTTATACTGGCAGGGACCGCCACCGATTCTAGATCCGTAATTCGTAGGCAAGGTATTCATTGTGGATGAGGTTCGGTGACAGGTGTGATGATAATAACAAGAGAGTAGTTTAGCGAGGAGAGTGGTGGGCGTCTACTTCCCCTGTGCAGAGCAAAGTGGGGACTGCACCCTTGTGTGGTGGAGTCCACCTTTTCACCACCATGCACTTGGCGATAAACCCTCGGGATGCTATTGGCTAGGAAATCCGCAGTTGGAAAAGTAAAACCTCAGCTTCACCTTTAGCGCTTTATCAAATGGTGCAAAAATCAGGCCGAAAAAGGAAAGACAAACACCACACACTGAACTATTATATTTTTAACCCCCACAACATATTTTTAACCCCCACAACGAGAAGATATTTCTGTCTGTTTAGACTAAGCAGTTCTAATGTTAAACTTAAATTTGCTTCAAACTGCTGTACTTTTGAGGGTCTGTTACACCAAGAACCCAAGGAAATATCTACCACCTTCTCCCTCAGGACCTGGTCGGCACCCAAAAATCATGGAAAGACTATTCAGTAGCTTTGATCCATTTTCAAATCTCCGTGCCTGTTTAAATTTTCCTATTTTATTGGGGCAGCGCAGGGAATAAGCGACAGCTGAAAGTGCGCAAGTACCCGTACCCATATCGTACTACTCATCACCACCCGCAGCCTTTCATCACCACATATCTCTGCCAAGAATAGTATCCCAAGATATACTGTTCCCCCCTTTTATATTCCAATGTTCACACCCGATCACTCATTCACCTCGAGTCACCCGGCCACACTGTCACGACTACCTTTGGGTATTCCAACCCCCGGGCCACCACCCATGCATACACTCACCTTAACGCATTGATGCCATAAGTACCGGTACTCCATGTGCTGCGACTTTGAAGTTCCCCTCCTCGGATATGGCATGGCGAGTGAGGGTGGGAAACACCGGAACTCAATGCTGCCGGGGCCAGACAAGAGATATGCATCTCGGCGCCTCACTGGGAGAAGGAAGTACATGAGGCACGTTGCCGTAGCACATTTATCTCCTGCCCTATCTTTTCCCATTCGAGTTTCTCGCGGCATCCTACCGCAGTATCAAAGGCCTACCTACCGGTACCATACTAGTACAGCGGTCACTCGATCGCCAGCAATGTGGAACACATCCATGCATACCGCCCCGGGTGGGCCCCGCCACGTTGATATAAAAAAGCATGAATAGACAAGTACGAGTACCGGTATCATACTTGAGAATAAATCCGAGGGAAATATTCATCCAATCGGAGGAATCCAACCACCGGAAACGCTAGAAAGCCCCCAGAAGAAGAAAAAACTACGGCCAAGTAAGAAATAAACATCCCTCCCGGTCCTCATAATTTTAGTCGCCATAACAAGACAACACATGCTGTGCTCGTACCCGATGTATGATAGGAAGAAGAAAAAAAATCCAAGAAAATCCGGTGGTGGGACAAGAAACCTGAGCCGCAGACGATAGATAACTTAAAGGTCTGATACCACTTACCGATATCGATAGATTAGTCATCAAGTCACATCGCAGACGAGAATTGCCCGAAGGTGCAGATACTGAACCCTCGCTTAACTAACTTAATTATACCGGTACTAAATTATAATTCACCAGATAACAGCCAGAAACATCGGTATCATGTCATGGCAAACATACAGCACCATGCCCAAGTAAACCGGAAGTCCCGAAACAAACTACGATCCCCTCATCCGAGCGGGGAATGACAATCGCGGCCATTCGACCGGCGGACAGACGACCGCGACCCCCCCCCCCCGGCGCTCACCCATAGCGATTCACAAGAGTACCGGCAAAGAGATTCATGCCTTCACGCTAGTCCGGGACCAATTTAACGGAAATCTCGAACAAAACTCACCCCCTCCACACCCCAACTCCAACCCCTCACGAACCCACCGTGTAGACTACGAGTACAGTAGAGTAGAGTATCAGTAGCGTACGGCACAGTACTCCCACCAACGTACCAAGCAAAGGGAAGGGAACACATAAAAGTCGTATGGTAGCCGACGAACGCCGGGGGGGAACTTGACCCAATCCTAACGGGCCATAATTAATCACGACAAAAAGAACTCCAAGACCTGGTGGGCACGCATCACCTGACTGACCGACGCTAGGGCTTCAATACAGGAGACTGTCCCAACACTCCGCTCGATGGATATAGATTTGTGGTATTGTGATACTGTATGGGATACTCTCCGTGATATGCTAAAAAAAAAAAAAACAAGCAAGTAAAAAAGAAAGAACCAAGGAAGGCAGGAAAGAAAGAGGCAGGAAAAGGTTGTGAAATCCTCTACTAAACTACAGAGGATGTCTAGATTTGGCAATGGTGCGAGTGAGAGAGTTGGGTGGGCTACGCTTTGGTACTCGGGTAGCGCTGGTCAGGCTAATGCATCGCGGCGGTATTTGCAAATACCAGTACTACATTGTACAGCACATCCCATGCGGTCTCGTTCGGGATATACTTGTACTGTTACGTGCTTGGAACTCCACACGGTCATTGTGCCATTCACTAGGGCGGCGGCAGTGGGAATGAGGGCTCGCGTGTCTCGCGATTTGTCGCTCACACGAGGGTCGAGAGCGGAAAGGACAGAGTAAGGGAGAGGGTCACTTAAGCTACCTGAGCGCTTCGGTAAACCCAATTCTATGGCTCCCATCTGAGAATCCAATCAATCATTTCCGCATCACCGCCGGGCTCGGACCCCCCTAGTCCCACACTCACCCTCTTATTTCATCTCAATCACAGGTAAACACTTCAGTTCATTTCGCTGTCGCAACGCGTTACGAACGGGGTACGGCAAACTGGTATCATAACTGATGGACTAAATCCATAAAGCCCCTTCCTTCATCAAAACGAAACCTCGCGCACAATAACAAAGCTAAAGGCTCTTGTTCTATGTTACAAAACCCCAAAATGAACCGAACAACCTAAAGTACATCACCCGCCATGGCCACGGCACGCCATACAATTCAACCAGCAACAGCCGTATCCCCTTTATCAAACCCATGCCATCCAAAAAGTTAACTAAGAAGCCGAAAATGAAAGAATTGGGAAAATGGAAAACAGGAAATAAACCAAGAGGACTTCTAGTTTTTAAGCTTTTTCCTTAGAAAAAGGGACAAATGTTTCCCCGCTCAACGAGGGCAATTTTTGATGAAGGAATTGGTAGGGGGGGCCTGCGAAGACTCATCGGCAGCCCTAGAACCGAGCCCACCCATCTTCTTTGTCATAAAGTCGAAGAAAGCGAATTGACTCGGGTTGCTGCCGAACTCGTAGATGAAGCGGGAAGCGATATAACTGCCAAAGATGGCGCGGAGGTAGTTGTTAGGAACACGCTTAAGAATGAGGTCGAGGCCAATCTGCTGGAGGAGGGTTTGCGGGAGGGCGTCTTCAAGAACACTCTTTCTCAAGGCAACATTATTCCAAAGCTCAGTCTTCTGGAGCTCTTCATCCAGCTTGGTGATTGCTAGGGAGAGCTCATCGGAAAGGATGGAGCGGCTCTTGCCAGTTTGCTGGTTCTCGCGCCAAATGGCCTCAAATTCTAGGCGGGCGTTATCCTGGATTGTTTTCTGGACCTCTTGAACGTAGGACTTGTAGAACTCGGGAACAACGCCGTCTTGGACACACATGTGCTCGACAAAACCGGCCTCGTCAAAGGCAAGCGATGCAAGGACTTCCATGGAAGAACTAGTGACACCACCCTTGTTGGCGCTAGCGTCCTTGAAGAGGAGTGTACCAGCATTCTCTAATCTCAGCTTAGCGTCCTGAGAGATGAACAAGTTGGCGCCCTCAACGATATAAGGAATAACAGTCCTTCCGTCCTTAATGAACTTTCCGACATTGCCCAGGTCAATGGCCTCGGGTCGCCCACCGCAGGGAACGAAAATATCGTAGGGGATGTCGGTGCGGGTATGGAAGGTGTTACGGAAAATAGTACCATTGGCGACAACTTCGCCGTTAGGAAGAGCGACGTTGGTATCCTCTATCAGAATTCTATACCCCTCAGGCGAGAGCTTGGAGACATCAAACTCGGAAATCATAAGACGTCGCTTGGCCAGGCGAATGAGTTCCTGGTGATCGAGACCGTTCAGGTCAACCAGAACACCAGACCCATCGACAATAGCACTATATCTCTCATTGCTCAGAAGGATCTCGTTTGATCCCAAGTCACCGTCGGGCCCACCAGTCTGCAATTTCCTCATCTTGGATGGGTCAACACGCAACTTGCGGTAGATACCGAGAATGTATTCGCGAACACTCAGGGACGTCATTCCATATGTATCATGAGGAATACCACCCAAGCTAGGGCTCTTCCCGGTAAAGAAGGACTTCCACCAAGGTGCACCTCTGGTTCTGGCGTGCTCGGTAGCCCAATCCACTAGGCCGGCTGTGTTCTCATCGGGACCCATAAACAAGATCTCGGGCTCCTTGTGAAGATCGACAATAGGATCCTTGATACCGGGGCTATTGGGTGTAAGTAGGAGATCCAGAATCGAATCAATGTACTTCTGGAATGCTCCCGTAGCTTTATCTTGATGATTGGCATCAAGGAGAATAACACCTTTGCTCCCACCTTCCGGGATATCCTTGTTCTTGCGTTGTTGAGTGTTTGCGAGGTTGTAATTCTCATCGAAGACCGAACGTGCATTGATCGCGTATGCCTCCCGATTCCTACTTTTAACGATACGGATACCCCCACGTGCAATATCGCGGAACCTCAGATGGAATCCCCTGAATTCCGATCCAATAACTAAGAACATGCCAAACAATGGCTGAGGGTATTCGACAGTCGGCAAGAATCGAGGGTGAAGCCGGAAACTGAGCGCAACCTTGGTGGGGGTGTAAAAGTTTGTTTTCAGTACGTTGCGGTTGAAGGTAATAAAGTATTGCATGACTTTCTCTTGATGCTCGTTCCCGACACTCGTCGATATCAAAGCCTCAAGTTCATCATCCGTCAACACCCGGCCAACTTGCAGGCGTTGATAGCTGAGCGTAGGGATAAAGTCATCGTGTTCACCGCGGGTCTGCACATAGTGCTGATTGGCGAACGATAGATATAATGAACGAACCAACTCGGGGTGGTCATTGATGATCTCGAAAATATAATCCGAAGTAAAGGTTTCTTGGCGAAGACGACGCTTGATCTTGGTGAGTGTCTCCGCGTGGACACTATTGCTCGCGTCGAGCAACGAGGATAGGGCGCCATATTCGGAACCTAAGCCACACAATCAGCAACCCGCCCGTGACGTTTATGAGGTGACAGGGATTACAAACCTAGCCTATTTAAGAAATGGCTCACAAAGTGGCAAACACAGTGAGCGTATATTGTCTCCTGCAGACTCAAACGGCCACTGATAAAGTGTTCCTGGAAAATGTTTTGAGGAATACAGTACAAAAGAGAAACTTCCTTCATGATTTGGTAAATCGATGCCTCGATAGGCGGGAACACTGCAGGGTTCGGGACGGTAGAATTATAGGGGAGAGGTCGAAGGTAGATTGACATCACGGTTACGCCGTTAGAGAATTGTTCTGCGAATGTTAGCCGGGATTCGGACACAATCGCGGTTGAAGGATATAGATTTCCACTTACCGACATACTTTCTCGTGGAGGTACATCCATAGTAGTGGTAAAGGTCGCTCAGAGCCGAAAATAGACCCATGGAGCTGCCTTGTTTAAATCCAATGACGAGCCTCTTCTCCCTTGTACCTTGGACCTCAAACATCTCAATAACAGGCCCAGTCCGCTCAATTAGGGACCCCACAATGCCCTGGTAAACCTCCTTGGTGTTAGGGGAAACCTTTTCCAGGAAAGATTTATCAGAGATAACGCTCAAGTCTGTCTCATTGGGATCAGGGTTGGGATTGACAAAGTCGCATTGGTAGACGAAGTAGCAGCGGAGCTGCTGATTAGACGCGGTAAGCTGGGAAGAGGAACGGAAGGTTTCAACGCGGTAAGCTTTCGCAGGGTTCGAAGAGTTGAGGTATTTCTTGTCGATTCTCTGCTCATACTGCGGGCCGGAGAGCACGGATATTCCAGGGGTAGACGTATCGATGTACACCGCATGATCTAAATAGATGCCGGATTAGCCGAGCCCCGACAAAATGGCAGGGATACATAGATAGGGAGGAATAGTAAAGTGTTACCCTCTGCCTCTCTATCGAGCCGAATTTCCAGACGCTTGTCGTCCCGAGAAAATGCCGCAACCTTTCCGGCATAGAGAGACAAAATATGGTTCACAATTGTATCCTATCGCAATCCAAGTCAGTACGGGTCCCGCTCCAAGATATCCGTCGTATGCCAGATGCTCACAGCGGTTTCTGATTTGAAGTACATGTCTAAACGGCCAAATTAGTCGCGGTTCGACCAAAAATAGGGCATCGGATAAATTTCCGGAAGAAGGGAATACGATAGCACCTACCGTCAATCCCGAGCGCTGAGTAGAACCAATTTGTCTCACTCTCGACGAAATCCGGAGGGATGAATCCCTTCCCTTCGAGCTTGTCCATGACTACAACAATTAGCAATTAAAACGTCCCTGACAAAACAGCGGAGCGAGAAAGAATGAAAGCTACCGAGCTCCATCTGCTTCTCCTTTCCTTCAAACACCGGTGCAACATAACCGGAGGCATCATCTTTCAAAACCCGTTGATTATGATTGCCAATACTGAGGTGCGTCGGGTGTGGGCTGGGAGTGCTGAACCGATCGATGCTGGTGTGAGCCGCAAGCGTAGTACTGGGAGCCATGGTGATAAACTGTAAACCAAGCGGGGGAGTCTTAAAGGCTAAAAAACCAGTCCGTCAGTTTCCAGAAAGATAACTTTTGGGAAGTGAAGATAGGAGTGAGGAGGTGTGAAGAAACGCGTGAGGAGGAGAAGATATTTAGAGGAGAGCAGAAAGTAGGCGTGCAAAGTTCTGGCGCGGTCAGGGAGAAAATAAGGAAGAAGAATAGTTTGGTATCCCCAGCCAAACGACCCCCCCACCTCTCTGCCTCCTTTCTGCTCACCACCGATTCAAGGATCCGGCCGAAACAACATAACGAAAGAATACAGAGGAATCGAAACCCAGGACGAGGGGGGAGGGAGTTCAGTGCTCACGCAGAAGCTTGCTCGTAATGGATTATCGGTCGAGAGATCAGAGCGGCAGAGTCTAGGCGAGAAGGTGGGGGTGGAGGAGGGGTTGTGGAAAAATGAAAGCGGCAGAGACGGAGGGCAGGCAGTGTTGAGGTAGAGAGCGAGATCACAAGCCAAGGAGAGAGAGGTGAAAGGGCGGGCCCTAAGACAGGTGTTGAGAGTATCGGGGTGGTTCTCTTATCCTCTTTCCCAGCGGAGGAGCGAGGTGAGTATGGTATTTTTATTATTTTTATTTGCGACTCAAAGGTCCGTGACGAGTGTGGGAAACTTCAATTTATATAGCTTGTTAAGAAGTGTGATAGATTGTTGGAGAAGTCAGCTCTATGAGCTCATCCCAGTTCGGACTTGTTCGCCATTCTTCGAGTATGGTACCGTTATGGTAACCTGTGATACAATACCGGTACATGTACAAGTACCTGTACGGTAAGTCACTCCATATCCTCATGGTTACTTTTTCGCTCCCATTTTCCGTTCCTCATTTTCATTTTTCATTTTATTTTTAAACCCCACCACTTTTGCTAACCTTAGCCCTTGGCGTAGTCCTGGCTGTAGCTGCAGCTCTTTCTTGTTTTTATTCACTCGCTCGCCTACGAGTACTCACATCCGACTCCCTTGTAATGTATGATGATACCGGTGTGCACGAGTAGAGTAGACCATGCTATAGCGGAATAACCTCTCCGCAGATCAATCAAGTAAGGATTCGAAAAATACTCGTACTAGGACGGTAGGTTTACAAGTAGATCCCATGGGTTTTGCAATGAACGAATAAAATGGGCAAGAAGAAAAAGAAAAAAAAAAGAAAGGAAAACAGCCTGTTGGTGGTCCTCTCGGCTCAGGAACCAAATCGAATTGGGGGAGAGAGGGGGGAGGAAAGAAAAGGAAAAAAAAAATACCACTCCTCCACCACCACAATTTGTCAGTGTACAGACTAGATCGGGCCAAAAATTACGGTAGGCTTTTCCACACACCACGGCATCCATCACATCTCCACGATGCCTGTGCGAACCGCACAATTGGCCGCCCGCCTGCCTACTCTTTTCATCTTTCTTTTTTCCACCTCGGCATCTCGCGAAGGCAAACCCATCTGAGACAATCTCACGATGCTGCATCCAGTTCCTCCCCCCAACAGAAGCGTAGGGAAGGGAAAGGGGTAAAAGTGAGAGAGAAGGAGGGAAAGTTGGGGGGGACGGGCGCGAAGCGAAGGGAAAGGGAGCAAGGCATGGGTTTCTTTTTTCCGTCCGGGAGCCGGAACCGATCTCTGTTTTCTGGTCTCTTCGTTATGAAGGATCGTGAACGTGACCAGAGCCTGAAGAATCGTAACGGAGTCAGAATTGCAATGATAAGTTGGAAAGGACGGGTTCCACGGAGTGTGAGTTCAATTACAAACCCCCCCACAGCCTCCCGGGAAGGTCGATGGGGGAAGAGGGCGAGGGTTGGGGGAAACCACATGACATGAACAGAGTACAAGCATGATATTGCCCACACCAAAAACTCACGATGCCAGCCGTCATTGTCCAAAGTAGGTTCTTGTACTCGAAGGAACGTGGTTTCCCCTTTTATTTCGCTAAAACGCGGAGTCAAGGACACCAGAGCTCCTCCACGACAAGCACCGCATCCCCCGCGTAGTCTACGGGGCCAGAACATCACTTGAGCACCTGGCGAGTCAGCCATCCTACATCAGCTAACGTAACTTTAAACCTTCCACTGGGATAGCGGGCATATCATGAAATGAATGGTCTCCCCAACAGATGAAAAGGTACGGTGCGCACCAATCAGTGAATGGGGGGAGAAAAAAGGAAAGAGGAAAGATTAAAAAAAAAAGGGCAGAGATCTCGTCATCCTCGCCCGACCGCATGCAACATACTGGTATGGCAGACGACTCCCGTGCTTTGGACGCGTGCACAACACACAAGAAATCCTCAATTCGTCATGGATACTACGGTAGCCTTGCGATTTGCGGGGAATATTTGAATTCACCGAGAGCGCTGAGTCATTCGATTACCGAGGACACTGAAAATCTCTTTTTTCTTTCTTTTTTTCAGGCGAGGTGCGGCTGGCTTCTGTCGAATTCAGCGCTCAACCCCCTCATGTCCCGGATCTCGATAATACGGATACCTTGCTGACCCGTATGAAATGCTGCGAATCCAAAAATTGTCCACAGCACTTGATGGGTTGTACAGGACAGAGTTTTTAAATTTTGGCTGCAGGGTAACGGGGTGTGAGTGGGTGTACCTGGCGACAAGTTTGACTATTTCGGGTGGCCCTGGTAATCGTACACGTACGTTCGCTCCCCGCTATACCGGATGGCCAAATTTCAGGTATTGCAGCCGGGACCGCGGGGTATCCGGAACAGCAGAGAGTAGTGCTAAGGCAAAAATCACGAAGGGTTATTCACATTCATGTGAGTCGCTTTATCTCGGTTCATATAGATAAGCAGTGTTGGCTCCTTCGGTTATCCATCGGCTAGCTTCACCTGGATGATGGCATTTTCACTGCCATCCTCGACATTATTGCTCTTATACATAAGACCGAGAAACCTTCATGAGCTAGTTCAGGTCCAAGCCTGTAATACTGTTTTATTCCTCCATCATTTCTCCTCCCAACATTTTTTTTTGTCACCCTTAATGCCCACACTTCTTATCTAGTATTTTCCTTTATAGTATCAAGTTGAGTGCCTCTTCTTCAGCTATATACATACTTGAAAACAGATACCATTTCTATTTACTAACTTGGCAAATTGCTAGAGTATAACACCATAGTAGTAAACAGAACTGGTAGTCACTACCACCTGGACGGGAGTGGAGGATGGCTACAGTGAGGAAATTTCTTTATATGAATTAGTTATATTGTAGCAGATAGTGGGTTGGTAGGATACTTTGTATAATGGAAACAGACAGAAGAATGGTATCTAGATAGTTGACTAGTAGGACTTCTTTTGTATTAGTGATCAAGGAGGATTTTCCATAATAATTTATTTAAAGGTGTATGCCACTTTATATTATACTTTCTTTATACAACCTGGAGATTTACTTGCTACAGCTGTACTTAGAAGTTTCACTGGCGTTGGCTTGGTATATAAAACCTGAACTAGTGAATCCTGACCCTGAACTTCTGAATCAGATATGAGCATATCTTACTAGTACACAGAAAACTGTTGCCACTGGCAATCTTGATTGCTATGGGACTTAGTAGTATGTTAGGGACTGCTAGTACCTGAGCACTCAGATGCTAGCAATTATACAAGGTTGTGTCTATAAAGATTCAACTCATGTTGGGAAAAAGATTTCTTTTACATCTTGTAAATCCAGTATGTCAGATTCTTGGGAAGTGGTAAATGTAAACATGTATTCTGGATGAATATGACTAGGAGTAATAAGTCTAGGTGTAACATGTTTGCAGTGGGGTACTAGTATTACACATATGAATGCACAGACCTCCCCCGCGCACAGACCTCCTGAAAACAACGAAAAAAAATCTCATGGCCAACACTCCTCTCTGCCGCCGCTGTTGGGCCTGCACATAGTAATAGTGTTGCCAGAATTTGGTGTCCTGATAGTATAAACGAGTTGAAACAAAGCATGCATTGTAACACTGTATATGTCATCATCATCCATCCAACCAGAAGCTGTTTGCAGAATATATAAGAGGGAACCTCAAGCCATGTCTGAAAAGTGGAATGGAGCCAATTAGACAGATAACCATAGAGCTATGAGCTAAGCAAGATTGACCATCTCGGATATAGACACAATATATTGGGATGAAATTGCCAACAGTTCAATGAGTTATCGGGATGTGCCAGTATGGACCAGGCATGGAGGCCAGTCAAGTGCTCATACAGTATAGAGGCAACCAGAGCCCTATCTGTAAGTGAGGAACTTTCCTATGATGTTGACTAGTCCGATTGTAGTAGAAGGTCCTCAAAGTCAATGCAGTCATGTTGCGAAGACAACGATACAGTAATAAGTATCTCGAAGGAGCTGATTATTCCAGTTAGGATAAGGACGATGGTGAGTTGACTCGAAGCAAGACCACTCACTCACATTTGAACCTCCACGATGAAGGAATCCTGTGTTCTCACTGAAGAGGTTTGAAAGACTCTCACGGAAACATGACAATGCACAGCAACTGTATTCTGATTAAGATATAAAGTTTGTCAAGGTCAAATGGATTCCTGTTACGATAGTAAGGGGTAGGAATTGGAGAAGGTACATTGTTTGGTAATAGATAGATGTAGCCTACGACCACCCAGATGCAGAATATAAATATCGAGGTGCCTTTGTAGCTTTCAGAACTATCAGCGAAGGGGGAAGAGGTTTTATCAATATATTCATTATACTTTGATACCTACTTTTGTTACAAGCTTTCTTGACCAATCTTCAAGGAACCTTATTGGCCCCACTTACAATTTACGTGACTTAGGATTGGCTGCCACCTAACAACTAGTTACCCTTCTGGGTACGATAAGAGTAGCACGCAAGTTAATCTACAACCAATGAGTGTACTGTACTAAGAGAGGCTCTGAGAGAGATATATAAAGAATAGGAACTTAAAGAAGTAACAATTCAGCCAAGTATATTAGAAATACTGTCTGTCAAAGTCTGCTATTCCATCAAGAAAGGAGTGGGCTTTAAATACATAATTCTGTTCATGTCGTGCATGGACGAGTTCTCCAAACATTCTCTAATTAAAGAAAACAAATAAAATAAACTGAGTATCAAAGGATACTAGAAACCACAAGTAAAACAAACTGAGTATCAAAGAATACTTGAAACTATCAGTAAAGCAAAACATAAAAAACATTCCAGACCCAAATGGACTCATCAGCAAAAATAAAAGCTTGCGTCCTGTGCGTCCTGTGTGTCAGATGCACAGGACGCACAGGACGTAAACCATTAATCAGGACACAAGATGGGTTTGCCAAATCTCAGGACGCAAAGATCCTTGGCGCCAGAACTCAGGACACAGCCAGAACGCAAGCGAGCCTTGGTGCCACAACTCAGGATGCAGACAGAACGCAAGCAAGTACTACTGCAATACTAGAAGTAGACCTTGTGACCCAGGTCACATATGTAGATTCTGAAAGCTTTCACATAAATAGTATTTCTCATCATATTCAAGTGGGTTCTATAATACATCTTTCACAAAGAAAGCGCCCCCCATCCCCAACCCTTTGCTATGAATCTGGTCTACACCACTTACCTGACAGGAGATGACTGCACCAAGATTGGCGCTGGGAAGACTTCTGTCAGACCATTGAAAAGCTGGCGTTGAGTAGAATCCAGCTGCTGAGTCTAAGAACCTGCACCCAAAGAACGCCTGGGCAATCTGGCAGCAAAGTCAGCACTCTGCCAGGATAAAGACCACTTTCATAACAGGGTGTAACTCCACCAATATGGACGCCAGGGGGATGTCCAGGGTACCGTTGGAAAGCTGGCGTCGCGGAGAATCAGGGCGCCGAGTGTCGGATGCTGCATTCAAAGGATGCCCGGGCAATCAGGCGTCAAACTCAGCACTCCGCCAGAACTCCGCCAGGGTAAAGACCACATTCATAACAGGCTGTAACTGTACCAATATTGGCGCCGGGTAGACGTCCGAGGTACTGTTGGAAAGCTGGCGTCGCGTGCGATCTGGTGTAACGGGGGCTCCCTCAGGTAGATGGTTCCTGAGGATGCGACCGCACCAAACTTCGAATCTCTCGAACACAGCTCTTGCAAAAGTGTAAAGAATAAAAGTAAACGGTAAAACTTAATATCGTTAAGCTCAGGCTTATCTCAATTAAAGTCTCTTGAGAGGATGTTGATTGTGTCGGGGTAGGAGAGTTCTCATATAATCTTTAAGTAGTCAGACTTATACCAAAAACTCCCCCATCAGGTTACCCCGACCAACGTGAGTATGCCCTTCTCCGTAAGGGCTGCCCCGGCACCATTACCGTGTCCCCGAAGAGCTAT